TCTCTGGTGAATCCTCTCACCGCCCCTGCTCCTCTAGCTTATACCCCAGTTCTGTAAGCATGGATAAATAAATCTTAAAAAAAAATAAAAATAAATGCTCATGGGTTAGTGGGCTGATTATATGTGTGTGTGTGTGATATTTATTTATTTATGCATACAAGAGTGGGGGGACAGGCCAGAGGTGTGGCGGGTGAGAGGATTCATCAGAGATATGGTGAGGAAAAGAACAGGTGGATTGACTGAAACACACTGATGAGGGGAGGGTCAGGAGAGAGATGTGCTGCGCCATGTGGGTCACCTCCCAGCCAGGAATCAAACTCAGGCTGCAGCGGCTGTGGACAGCTTCATAGTGCTGTACTTTAACCCACTGCGCCACCCGGGAGGCCTCCGATATATTTTTAAGCAGCCACAAGGGAACATATCTAAGCAACTGTCACCTACCGAACCTGGTATTTATTCTTCCAAACAAAAGCTCATTCATGGTGGGTCAGATGTAATAGGACAAATAACATGTGGAAATAAAAATCTACATGGAGGGGTAAAGCTAGCTCCTCCCCAGCCCCGTGAGGAATCCCAAGGGCCCTTTTCATGAATCGCCCACACCCAGCTTCCTACAGAAGCTTTGTCTGCGCAGACATGTGCCGAGCCCAGTGAGGAGATCACAAGGCAGGTGCCGTCTTCAAACCCCAGGGTAAGCTCTCTAACTCCAGCTTCTGTCACCAAAGCCTGTGGGCTCTCCTCAGGTCTGTGCCAAGAATAAGTGGCCATCCAGGAGAAGAGAGACTTCCTCTCCTGTCATGCAAATGCCACCCCCGGGAGACCCCCTCCCCTCCTGGGCACTGTCAGCAGGTGCCCAGCAGCAGCCAGAGGGAGCTGCTGGCCCTCCGGCCCTTGAGCAGCCTGCAGCAACACCCTCTGAGTCATCAGAATCCCCCTCTTGGACCTCTTCTGTGACTGAGAGCTTGATGAGGCCAGGGCTGGGATTTCTCATCGATGTGTCCCTGGGGCCAGCGCCACACTTGTGGGCATTTGGGGAGGCCCAGGACCCAAGTGGGGTCTTCCGGGCTCTAGAACTAGCAAGCAGTGAGGTTACTCAAAAGCACTTGTGAATGAATGAATGAATGAATGAGTGAGTGAGTGAGTGAATGCATTTACTTTCACCCCATATAACTGACACTCCTAGGTGGCAATTCAATAACTAGTCTACCACTTCGCAAGCATAAAATGCCATGACAGAGTGTTAAAAATTTCTCTGCATGCACTGAAACAGGTGGCCCCTAAGAGGGACACGCCACACGTGTCCACAGCAACCAGGCTGGACCTCACAAGCAGTCTGGGCTGTCTCCCATGCCCAGCCCCCCAACCCTGGTCTGTCCACCCTGCGCCCTGCCTACAGAGAAGGTGGTCTCTGCAATCCTGAGACCAGTCCTGATGGACCAGAAGACAATCACAGGGGAGGTTTCAGGGCCTAGATGGAAGCTCAGAGCCCTGACACTAGCGAGCCAGTATCTTACAAGGAGCCAGCATTTCTGCTCTCCGTGAGCTGGGAGGTGAGAGGCACAGTCCCAGCCACCCTGACCTGTTCTGACAGTGCAGGAAGCCTCTGATCACCGGGGATGGTCCTGCTCTGTACTGAGCCATGGGGAGTGGCGAGAGCTTTGTTAAGTGTTAACTATTTCCAGGAAATGCCTCTTCAGTTACATCTATTTATAGAACACGTAATACTTGCTGCACAGCGTGGTTTTTGCATGTTATGAACTTGTGTGTTTACAAGAGCCAGGGAAAGTTCTTCAAAAGCTGCTTAAATAGCTCTCATAGGTATTTGCAGCTAACGACATCTGTAGCTGGTGGCTAAGGGGAGGACCATCTTATATTTTGTGAAAAGTTTTGGCAATGGCTTATTATGCTGAATTTGGGGACACACTTTACAACTCACCTTTGAAATTTCACCTTCGTGACCTTCCAGTTTGGTGATACATTTCCTGGTGGCGGCGCAGAACACCCTGCCTGTGCCTTGGGGAGAGGGGGAGGTAGCCATAGAAATGTAAGTTCATCTGAATACAGCACTCTGAACCAGATCCCTTGAACATCTACACATCTCCCTTCTGACACAGCTCACCGCCTGGGTGAAAGCCGACTGCTGTCTGAAGAGGAGGGACCGGAGAGGGTCCTCGTACGTGAGCACCATGAGTACGCTGGGAAAACTCAAATGGGATGAAATAAAGTGTGCAGAATCACAAAGCGCCCTCCCCCTTCAGCTGCTAGGGCGGTGCATGGAACACCTGAGCACTTGCCCCCCTTCGCTGACCGGCGTGGCCAGCGTGATCATCAGCAGGTCGCATTTCCACTGACCCGCACCAAGGTCAGGCAAGGCTCTCTGGGGCCTGCGGGGAGGGTTTTCCATCGTGGCTGCAGTCTGACCCTCGGGCTCAGAAGGTCTCGGAGGAGGAACACGCACACCTCAGCTCCACACCTGCGTCAGGGCCTCAGGGGCTCAGGTACCCCCGGCTCCTTCCAGGAGCTCCAGGGCTTCCTCCAGGGACTGGTCAAGCCCCAGCCTCGGTGGCATCAGACCCACCCAGCGCCACGCAGTGGTCTCTGCAGAGCGCAGACGCCACTCCAGACTGCTGCAGACCGGTCTCTGCGTGCCTCTCCTCAGCCAGCGGCTCTCAGCTCCAGTCCTTCTACACCCGCAGCAACCCTGGACTCAGAGTCCTAAACTTTCTTGACCCTGTGATTTTGCTGAAGTAGCTTTTCCCAAAGAAGTAAGGCCTCTTGGGTCAGCTGTGGTTTCCCGGGCATGTGCTCAGGATCAAGCGGTCCCTATGCTCAAGCCCTCCGCCCGCGAGGCCCTTTTTAGCCTTTTAACGGTGCCTGGCTGGGGACTCTTAGCAGCCGGCAGGCGGCGTTACTCCGTGCTTTTTCAGCCCTGCAGCTGTGGAGGGCTGGGCAATGCACCCGGGTCCCACGCAGGGGGAGGGGGCCCAGGGAAAAGGTGAGGTGCGCCAGCGCAAGCTTATTGGAAGAGATGATGAGGTCCTAGGCAGATAGAGGAGGGCAGGAAGGAGATTTTTTTTTTTAAAGATTTATTTATTTGTGCATACAGAACTGGGGCACAGGCCAGAGGCTCAGGGGTGGTGAGAGGCTTCACCAGAGACAGAGTGGGGAGCAGAACAGGCAGATCCTCGAAGTACACTGCTGAGGGGAGCAGCGGGCCGGTCAGGAGAGGTCTGCCCCGCCATGTGGTCACCTACGGGGAAGGCGGGAATCGAACTCATGCGAAAGTGGCTTTAGCTTCTTAGCACTGTGCTTTAAGCCACTGCACCACCAGGGAGGGCCAGGAAGGAGATTTTAAAGGGAAAAAAGGAGGGGACTCAAAACATGTTTTAGGAGACTAGTGATGAAATAAGCAGCAAGACCAGCATCGCACACCAAACATGAGTTGGCTCTCGGAAGCTACGGGTGGGTCTTTCTATGAAGACACCCAGGCCGTTACTCAGTGAACTAAGGACAGCACTAGGAAACCCTTTACAACAGAAAGGGCTAATAGGATGCGTGTTCCCTCTTGCATCCCCAGCACCCAAAAGTGCCAAGCTCGTAGCAGGCATCGCATAAGGAGCTGCTGGATGAATGGGTGGAGGGAGGAAGTGACCTGTACTTGTCCTTAGAATTAAGGAATGGGAGCATTAGAGAAGCACAGGAGGAAATAAGACTGCCATAGTGAAACTCTTGTTTTAGAAAGTGACCAAATTTCTGACCAGATGAAGGACACTTTCCCATTGCAAATGGCAGAATTATACAGAGGTAAAATTAGCCAGGGCAGGAAGGTTCAGTTATTCAATTTCATTCAAAGAAAAGCAAGACATCTAAATGATTTTTGACTTAACTTTCTGACAAAGCCAACTTCAAGAGAAAATAGACAAAAGGGTCCAAGTTGCTATCTTAGAAATACTATGATTGAAATGTAAAGCTTGCTACATGCACATTTCATTATGCATAGTGAAAAGATGAAATATACACCTGTGGCATCGTGTGAATGGATGAGAAGTAACACAGCCTGTGTAGAAGCACGCCTGTCATGAGGTGACTCAGCCGTCTTCTGGATGATGGCTGAGACATCGTTATGGCACCTCCATCTACTGCCACCAAAGATGACATGTGCCCATCAGTGGCAGGAAGTAAATACAGTACAACATAGCAAAGGGACTTCATGGGATGAGGAAACACTGCACCTTATGGGACCATCAAGGGTAAGACATGTTATTAAAGACATGACACAGACAAGAGCTAGCATCCAAACTCTCCTGGTTATAAAGGGATGACCTGTTTACCTGATGGCATCATACGTTTTCTGTAATAAGATTAGGTGGCATTGACTTGTCTCTTCTGTGTCAGTGAGATGATAGTGCATACAGTGAAGTACCATTTCCAGCTAGGGACAAGGGTAACATATACATAGGGTGGTGTATTACTCAGTGATCAGGAGACAGTGCAGACATGGAGTAGGGGACTGCATTGTTATACCTTTGTTGTACCAAAGGTATAACAAAACAAATGAAATGTCAAATGGTCATCAGATGACAGAGATATGCTATAGCATAAAATATGATTTTCAAAGAGATCATGAAAATCACTGCAGCATCATATTCATTTCCTAGGAGATGGATCTGAGATTAGGTCACGTGGAGCATGGTAATCAGGAAGATTGAGTGGACATAGAGTAGCATGATGGGTAGTCACTAGGAAGATGAGGCACACGATGAGTGTCATATCTGGTCATCAGGAAGACAGCAAAGACTTAGTGTAGCATCCCAGGTGACCTGAACAGCGATAAAGCACATCTAGTATGTGGTTCCCAAAGATATGACACAACAGAGTATGAGAGATGGGTATCAAGTGAATGATACACAACAGAACAACACACCAGCCACAAAAAAAAAATGAAGAATACAACAACATCAAGAACAACAAACAAGAAGACAACAGCAGAAAAAACACTGCAGCAGAAGAGGTCCCCCCCGTGATAACAAACAACAAGACACCACAAAAAATAACAACATAAAAAATAATAATAAAAAAAATAAGACAACAATTTATAAGTCTGTGGTTATGAAGGAGGAGAAGCAGATCAGTATCTCATCATACAGTTTTCAACAAAAGTGAGCATACATCCTCAGAAGTGGTTATTAAGGCGATGAAGTATACATAGCGTTGCATTATGCAGTTATGAAGGAGATGGCACAGCTGTGCTAGAGCATCATAGCATCACTAACAGGAAGATGACACCATGAGTGGGGTTGTGCATTATCATTAAAGTGATGATCCTACCTATAACATCATACATAGTTATTAAAGTGATCAAGCATCATCATTATTCAGAGATTGCTGTCAAGGAAATAACCTTGAAATACTTCAGAATGGTCTTCAAGGAAGAGACACAGTCACACCATCACGGTTTGCACCCCACAAGCTGTTCAAAGAAATGATGCCAGTAGCTTACAGCATCAATGCGGACATGAGAGAATTAACCCATAATAGAGCATATGTTGTGGCTAGTAAGAAGAGGGAGACACAGATGAGCATCATGCATGATACTTAAAAAGTAAAAAAGATATAACATAGCATCATATAACACCTGGTATTTAATTTGGTGGCACATATATAATGTAGCATCATACATTGTCATTAAAAGATGACATATGATCAAGTATTATTTGAGATTTTCAAAGAGAAAATGAAGTCACAGTACAGCATCATGGAAAGTTATAAAGGATGTGGATTAACTCACATCTCTATAAAGTTATCAGACATGAGTGATGGAATGACAACATGTATTCATCAAAATGCATTGTAGTAACATCATGGCATAACACGGAGTTGAAATAGGATGCAGAATGTGGAATCATGTTTATGTCAAGGATAGGATGCCTGTAATGTATAGCATCAGACGTGGTCAGGAAGGAAACTCTCACAGTACAGTGTCAAACATGCTCATCAAGACATTTATGTACACATATTAGCGCTTCTGAAGTATAATGCAGATATTATAAAACATCAGGAGATGACACAGAAATAATAGAGAATCTTGACTGATTGATTGGTAAAGATAACACACAGTGATCGTGTAGCTGTTGCAGAGTTAAGGCCAGCACACTGTATCATAAATGATACAGTGAGGGAACACATTTAACATCACATGAAGCTACCCAGGTTTTGCAGACCAAAGCAGCACATACCCTTGGTCACCCATGGAGATGACACACAGTATGTCACCAACATAGCACTCAAAAAGATGTCACCAAATTTCAGTGTTCCAAACATATTTCATAGACACACTACAGAATCATAGAGATGACATAGCAGTCCCTTCTCCGGGAAATGAGGTGGACTTATGACTGCATCACACTTGGGCTCCTACGAGATGATGGAGATGGGGAATCGTACCATGCAGAGTTCTAAATGATTGGATTAAGATGTAGCATAACATCACACCTGATTATAAAGGCCTGGCAAAGACTGTAAGATAAGACTTGACACAACTGTCAAGTATGTGAGTAGACACACTAGCATCAGAGGGTTAGTACAGACTTAGGGCAGTGCTATCCATGACGTCATGGGTGTGATGTCACGTATTTGGTGTCTTCAGGAAGAAAATACACAGAATCACATCATGCTTTGTTATCTGGGGTGACACCTCATAGAATAGCATCCACATTATTGTGTAATGTCACAAGGCAGAATAGTAAAGCACCGCAAATGCTTGCCAGGGGATTATGCAGGTGGAGGGCAAGAACATATGTGCTTATCAAGGAGATAATGCAGGCTGAGCACATTTCCTGTTCCTGGTTATCAAGGACTGCCAGGGGATGATGCAGAAAGTGTCTTATGTGTCAGGAATATAAGTTATTGTGGGGGTGGCCTAACCTGTGGTATCACAGGTTGTCACTCAGGTCACGATAAATGCAGAGTATACCAGCACAGAGGGTGCTCACTGAGACAATAGGGAGTTTGTTAGTGTTACACACAGCTTTTGGTACAGACATGGAATAGCACCACAGCAAGATAATGCCTAGTATTGCACCAAACATGTTATCAACAAGATTTAGCTGACATGGAACATACCATCTGATGCACACACACATACATGAGGTAGGGTAATTAAGGAGATGTTGCAGTCAGTGTGCAACAACCGAGGTGGTTTTTAAAACATGGATGAGAACAAAGTATATCGGTCATTGGGAAAATGATATAAATAGCTTTGTGTCATGGTCCTCAGGAAGATGACACCACCCATTCTTACTCCATGACCAGGAGATGGCAGAGACCTCCTGCAGTGATCCAAACTGTCACCAGAAAAATATTCTAAGTCTTATAGTGTTATCAGAAGACGTTTCTAGGATGCACATAAGGCACAGTATTAAATGTTTTAAAAGAGTGATGAGAACAGGGGGAAGCAGCATAAGTCACTTTCAAGGAGATGGTGACATAATGTCGCGTGGGTCCTGGAGGGTGGAGATGCACATTATGGCTCACGTGCCAACAGGAAAGTCATACAGATGGATTATAGCACCACGTGTGGTCATCATGGAACTGGCTACCATTAAGATGATGCTGTTGTGTGGAATCATACATGGAGTGAAGGCAAGGATATGGAGCCTGGCATCATAAATGCGCATCTCAGAGATCTGGTAGACCTCGTGGAGCAGCCTGTGTGGTCACAGGGATGGTGCCGATATATTACAGCACCGTGATTGGAGGCCAAGATGATGAGGTCAACACACGGTGGTATAAGGTCTGATCGTCAAGGAAATGAGGTGGAGTAGACCATTTTATTAAGGTGTCACTGAGATAATGAAGACCTAGGGTAACATCGCATGTGCTTGTCAAGAGGTGGTGCAGACATAGTGGCACAAAGGACATCCCAGAAAGAAGGTAAATATAGTTTTGCTCATAACTGGTCATCAGGGAGATAACCCACAGTCTGGAGCCATGAGTGTCTATCAAAGCATAAAATGTATTAAATGAATGAATGTATTGCCTACCATCTGCTGAGGCGGTCGCAATTAACTTTCCGGTGTAATCAAAACAGCTGTCTAGTATTTCATCATCGTGGCCTGTTAATGTAGCTACACATTTCCCATTTGAAGCATCCCACAGCTGCATTGAAAGAAAACAAAAAGACTGTGAAAAGGCTGAAGTGTAAACATGGGCAGACGTTGTAGTCTTTGTGGTATGCTTGTAGCCATTTAAATAAATTCCAAAGTCACATATATAAGTTTCAAGGGTTCAGTGAATTCTACCTTGATTCATGACTATAGACCGTAGTCAGCCACCTAACAAGGAGCATTTTGGATATAGGGATGATCAAAGACTGTTAGAATAGTACAAATCTGCCACTCTTAAACGGGGCAACCTCAAAGTACCTGCTTCAGTGATTGGGGTTGTGGTGTCCAGTTTTCATAGGAAGGTGGTCAAATTTAAGGAGCTTGATCTCAACTTCCAAGTATCTTAAGAGCATCATGCATTTGATAAGTAATCAACTAATAATCCCAGAGCATAAACTCTTAGCAACTGAACTTTAAGGCCAGTGGTATTCTGTTAAGACTCCTTGACATCATGCTCATTAAAATTTAATAAATGAATAGAGGAACATTGAGCAAAAATATTATACATTTGTGAAACAAGGTAATGTAATACATTTGAAGCTATTAAAATGGTTTTGCTGTATCATAATTCTTTTAAATTTAAGGAAGCAGAAATTACCAAAAAATTAACAATTACTTCTAAGTAAGTATCTTAAAAAATGTGTTAATATTCTGATGACTACATGGCACAGTAAGCACAGGGTCAAGAATTGTAAAGAGAGTTACTTCCTAAGCTCACCATGCAGGTTTTGTCCATGGAGCTGGTTAACATCAGAGAGCAGTCCCAGTTGAACAAGGCACTACTAATCTCTGCACAATGACCAATCAAGGTGTACACCTTCCTATAAAATGGAAAGAATTCCCAATGATATACGGCACCTTACTGTAAGAGAAGCACACAAATTATGAGGTCAAGGTCATCAGTGTTGGGAGTCTAAGCCACAGTTGTTACAAATTGACAACTTTGATGACAAACATGGCTTTGTTATAATTCTTTCTTTAGTTTACCTATTTTTAATTTTTAATATATTCATTATATCATATTTCATTTTTGTACAATGTATGGTCTCACTTATAGGAGCAAATGTAGAGAAAACAAAAAAATGAATCATAAAAAACATAGAATAAACTAAAAATCAAAATCATCAGCTTTTGTTATAATTCTAAGACAGTTGGTGAGACCACTAATTTCATTCCAACAAAACCATCCTTAAATTGTAAACAAGGACCGCCACTTCAGGAAGGCGAACGCATGAGTTGAAAAATAATAATAATCAAAACACTGTTGCAGCATCCTTCTGTCACATGTGTGGACACCTAGCTGGCCAGATGGCCCTTCCTTCGCCTCCTTCCCCTTGTGTCCATTTGATGGGCAGCTTGACAATTAGCTCATCTACCAACATGAAGCAAGCCAAGGGTAGAGAGCATATAGCCAGACTAATGTAGTTGACTTCTTAGCCACCGAGACCAAAAAGTAATTAGGAAGGAAATTGAAGTAAATTTAATTTGAGAAATTAGCCATGATTTTATTAATTCTTGAGATCCATGCCTACTGTACTGACCAGCCATTGACTCTGATTACACAGTGCAGGGAACAAATAACAACTAGAATCAGGCTATTGCTAACATTCTCCTTTTATGTTTCTGGTTGGCCTGATCTGCTCAGAATTCCAACAAGACACCTATTTTTGTGGATCAAAATTATGGCTATAGAACACACTGATTTATATTTCAGTGAGTCCTCCTTCTAGGGAGTGTAAAGCATAAATTAAATAAAGAACAAAGGTTGTGTATTTAACCTTCTGACCCAGGTTAAAAGATTCTCAAAAACGAACAGCACCTGCCAGTGGCGGCATCCCACATCGCCACGGTGTGATCGAAAGACCCGGTGATGATTCTGTTTCCCAAGGTGTCGAAGGACAAGGAGATGATCTCTGCTGAATGCCCCTGCAAAGGGAGGTGACACTGTCATGCGTATCTGTAGATAAGAGTTTCTACAAATGTGCAATGTCACAGCTGAAAAGAAAATGCTAGAAAGGGCAAAACTCTCAGGAGGAAGCAGCTCAGTGGCTGGAGACTGGGAGAGAGCAGCAAACGGGCATGTGGCCTCACCTGGGCGTGATGGAGATGTTCCAGACTAGACTGGGGTGATTGCATACTTCTTTAAATTTATTAAAACATGATGGTTTTTATTAAAACAAGTCAAACCTAGCTCAATAAAGCTTGAGCTAAAGGTTGTTGTTGTTGTTTTAAGAAAGGAGAAGGGTGTGTTTGGAAAATTAGCTTCTTTCCCATTGTGTAGAAACATCTACAAGCACCGTCTGCTTTATGGGCTAATAAGAGATGACAAAGGAGAAAAAGTAGTGAAGTAGCAATAGTTATAATTTTAAAGGGGAGGGGGGATTCTTATGACCTTTCCCCATGAATAGATTCGTAAATCTCTGGTCTTTGAGCTGACTTTCCAAGGATTACCATACAGGGCGGAGGAAACTACTCTCTCTAGTAAATTCTGCCTGGAGCAGAGTCCTTATTTTCCAGTTAATTCAGTGGCTTGTCATCATTACTTTTTAAATAACATAAAAAAGTTCACTATCGAATTATATTTCTGATTGGCTCCAAATGACAAATTTTAAACGTAGCAGAACATTAGAATTCAGATCACACAAATGTGTCTTCTGGGAGCAAGTAGATATGCAGAGGAGGGCTCCTCCCTCAGACTAAGCGGGGCACCTCCCTCACAGCGGGCTCCTCCCTCAGACTAAGCAAGGCTCTTCCCTCACAGCGGGCTCCTCCCTCAGACTAAGCAGGGCTCTTCCCTCACAGCGGGCTCCTCCCTCAGACA